ACTGAGCCTTCAGTCGTCCGCAGGCATTCGGCTCAGCAGGTCGTTGGGCTCCTGGCACACACGCCTCCACCCTGAGCGACGGACGTCGTGCCATAGTCCGCCATATCGTAGCTCCGGGCCGCAGTGGCGGACAGCGTCGGCACAGATATGAACGACAGCGTCGGCACAGATAATGCCGCAGTGGCGGACAAGAAAGCCGCAGTGGCGGACGAGACAGCCGCAGTTCCAGGCGGAACGCAAGGGATCTTTCAGAGGGCCAACGCCTTGAGGTCTAGATTCAGGACAGGGGACCAGGTGCGCCTCCCTGTGCTCATGCTCGCCCCGCACACGGGCAACCGAGGCGGGCACTACCCTCAGCAGGAAAGGGTTCGGGAACTCGCTGTGAAAATCTTCCTGGCTGGATTCACGCAAGCCGAAGCTGACCGCGAAGGTGTCTGCGTTCAGATGTACCCAGCACAAGAGCTGGTGCTGAGAAAAAGGAGGACCCGAAGTTCCAGACGTACACAGAGTACAATCTGGAAAAAGCGACCGGCCACCTCGCTGCGTGCTTCGACCGCAGTTGCGGAACAGACGTTGCGTATGGGACGTGTTCGCACTCCCACTTGTGCCTCGTGTTGCGGGCGTGCGCCCTTGGAGCCAAGTGGCCCATCCCCCAAGGCATGGAGTTCACGGAGGACGAGAGCGCGAGGCTGAAGCGCGTGCTCGATAAGGACGGCAATCTCGACATGGCCGCAGTGGCGGTACATGACCCTGTCGCTAAGAAACTCGTGCAGGGGGGTATGCTCATGGAAGTGCTTAGCTGGAAAATCATGGACGAGGAACCCACTGGTGCTTCGCTCATCAGCCAGTCCCTCAATAAAGGAGCCGATTTTGCGTTGCGAACTACTGAACTCACCGCGCTCCGTGTTCTGTGCAAGGCTGTTGACGCGGAGCTGCACGCCGCAGTTGCGGATCAGGTTGCCTTTGAAAAGGTCAAGCTATCCGTCATGCACGAACTCGATCGAGTCGTTCAGGACCCAGACTTCATTGAGCTGTTCTCGTTCGTTGTTGGGCTCGGGAGCACGAAAGCGCAGTTCATCCCCTTGCTGCTCCAGTTCTGCGAGGTCTACGTGAACTCCAGGAGAAGGGCCCTTCGGCTCGGTGCCTTCGGGGCAGCCAGCGAGCTTCCCGACGAAGTGCCGTGGGTCAAGGTTGCCGTGGTGATGCGATGCTACAGGAACGCGCCTGCGAGGAAGATGGGCGTTGACACTCCTGTGTGGTGCCCTGACCCAGAACAATCGTGGAAGAAGAAGGAGTTCCGAGACTTCCTCATCGACATGAACTCGGCTCTCCGTTTGTACTTGTTCACGCTGAGCAAGGCCATCGACGGCATGGGCCCTGAGAAGGCGATCGAGTTCAAGGCGAACCTGTGCATACTGACCGCAGACGGCTTCATGCAGTAACTGAAGGACACCCACGTCAAGGAACGAAGTATCCCAGGACATCGTCAGGCGCTCCTCCGCGCTTGCGCGGAGGCCACGGGGAAGGTGGAGCCGAAGTCCAATCGGGACGCCCTTGAGAAGGCCCTCGGCGAAGTGGGAGTCCGAGGCGGGAAGCCCGATTGGTTCGATTTCAACGCGTTGCCGCGCCCAGACCGAATGAGCCCGCAGTGGCGGGGAAGACAAAGGCTTCCGCAGAGGAGCGCGAGTTGATGCCGACGGTCATTTCCTTTGACCCCACGACGCAATTACCAACGAACCACCAGCGCAGCAGGGACACGCCGGCCATTCCACGCGGATCCTTCCCTTTGCCAAACGCCGAATGGAGGCGTTCAGCGGCAGCGAAGGAGCTGGGGCGGGAGCCTGCTTTGGTCAGCGCAGTGTTGCTGTGCCTTTGGGCGCGCCACATGTCCGCAGTTGCGGAAGCGCAAGTAGAGGTGTTGCAAGACGCTGACACAGAGAAACGCACCGTCAAGGCAACCGCTGCAAACGACGAAAAATGCATCGAGTTGTGGCCGTGCGTCCCAAAGGCATCCAAGGTGCACGCCGCAAGCACGCACCCCGAGAGGGTGGCCGTGCAAGTCTGGGTGAAAGGAGATCCAAATGGGGCCACGCCCACGACCTTCTACTTGCACCCCGAGTTCAAGCCGCCTGCGGACAAGACGCCCGCCGACGTGGCTGACCACGATGTGCGGTTGAGAGCATGGAAGTGGGATGCGCAAGAGACAATGCACGTCTTCTGGGCAGTCAACAGAGTCACGGAACAGGAGATCCAGCAGAGAAACAGCCGTAATGAAAGCGCAGTTGCGCGCATCAACATGGAGCTGGAGACGAAAGAATTGGCGGTGTGCGTGCCTGGGACAGGCGGGGTCGTGCTCGCCGTGAATGTCCCTGTGCTGGTGAATACCACGGCCGTGAAGAAAGGAGAAGAGCTCCTGTGGGAGGCGAGACCCAAAACCGCACCGAAGAAGAAGGCGGCCGAGGAGACGTGGAAGACGGACGCGGCCAAGAGGGCCAAAGGGAAGCCTTCGGGCCAGCCCGCGCCGAAGAAATCGAAGAAAGGGTTCGACGAAAGCGGGAAGATGTCGCTCTAATTAAGAAGCCGCAGTGGCGGCAGTCAGGGCGGCTTGCTCGCGTGACCGCAGTTGCGGGCAACAGGCCGAAGGGGGGGGCGCACGCGTGACCGCTGTTGCGGAGCGCTCGTGTAGTTTGCAGTGTCACTGCTTCTGTTAGCTGATGCCGCAGTAGCGGACCGCTGACGATCGAGCACGGAGGTTCGAAACGGACCTCCTCCCTCCCTTCTCCCTCTCCTCCCTCGCCCTTCCTCCACTTCCTCCCTCTCTCCTCCTCCTTTCTCCCCTTCCTCCCAAGTTGGAAGCCGAAACTACTCATTTCCTCACTCCCTCCCTCCCTCCCTGGAGGCCCTGGAGGGCCTCCGCCCTGGAGGGCCTGGAGGGCCCTGGAGGCCCTGGAGGGCCTCCCTGGAGGCCCTGGAGGCCCCGGAGGGCCTCCCTGGAGGCCCTGGAGGGCCTGGAGGGCCCTGGGCTGAGGGCGGAGGCCCTGGAGGGCCTCCGCCCTCAGAATGCTTCAAAGCAGTGCCGCGGCACTGCTTTGAAGCACCCAGGTGCTTCAAAGCAGTGCCCCGGCACTGCTTTGAAGCATTCTGAGGGCGGAGGCCCTCCAGGGAGGCGCGAGGATCGCAGGGGCCGAGGGAGGCCCTCCAGGGAGGCGTTCGTCTCGCCATCTGGCTCAACCGCGCGCGGCCCCACTGCCCGCACCTCCGCCTTGCCCGCAGTTGCGGCTGTGTCCAGCGCAGTAGCACACATGCCGACTTCGAGCGAATGGAGCCCTGTGTGCGTTGAGAAGGTCTTGTGCATCCGTGGAGGTTGGCTTGCGCAGACCACCCCCATCCCCGAAAAGGATGTCAAGGTGCTCCACGCAGGGCCCCTCGGAGAGAAAAGCTTCGTGCACGTGAACATGCAAAAGGCTTGGCTGCTCAAGGTGTGCGCCAAAGGTAAACCGACCGCAGGGGCCTTGAAGGCCTCCAAGGCCTGGGACGCGCTGAAGAAAGAACTCGCGAAGCAGGGCGGCGCCGCAGGTGCGGACGAGGAGAGCGACGGCGACGCGGGGGACGAAGCAGATGACCCCATGTCGGCCCTGGTCAGCTCCACGGACGCCACGAAGAAGCAGGCAGCGACCCCGACCAGCGCCAAGAAGCAGAAGACTGGAACGCGTGCGGCGACTACTGGCCTGCCCAGGGGCGAGGCCGTGGAGTCGGCCATAGCCACTGTGCACTCCGTACAGATGCCCGCAAAGAGCCCCATGAAGTTTCCGCACGACACGGCCGTTCGAAACGTGCGGGTGGCCAGCTTCAAGCGGAGGACGTTGTGGCTGGACGCTGCAGACCTTGGGTGGCTGATCGACATGATCGT